TTAAATGTGTCCAGAAGCATAAACCAAAGATAAAAACCCAAAAACCATTTGGTTAAAATCAATGCCAATAACCAATGCCGAAAACCGAACGCCATAGCCGAACGACGATAACCGATGGTTGTGGTTTTGGTTAAGAAAGAACCATGGGTTTTAGAAACTTAAAAACCATTTATGAAAACATTAATTTGATGCATGAAAAACATATTTTGTTTTGAGCCATGACGTAGAGAAATTGAATGAGCTTGTAACAATAAAACCTAAATCTTTAGAATACGTCTTCAAAGCGCCAATGTCGCCATCTTTAGCAACGTCAATGCCGTTCTTGTGCTTTTTGTTTCTTCAAAGAACTTTTTCTATCTTTTCATTTTGTTCCATGTTCCCGACGGTTTGTCAATATCAAAACCTAAACGGAAACAAACATTGTCATTAGCAAAATGTCAAAGTGAAAATGTTTTCCAACAAATTGATACATCTTTTTACTAGTAAAACCTCAAACTTATTGAAATGGAAATTGGTGGTGCAAAATATTTGAAGGGAAAAGAATATTTGTAATGATCCACTCTTGCATTTAAGTACCTCTCCTTTAAAATCCACTACTTTAGTTTTTTGATTGTTTGGACCGATCTGTGACATGGAACAGATAATTAGGATGCCATAATAAATATCTACCACTAGAGCATTAAAAAAGATACATTACAAATCAGTTTCTCATTGCTATCAAGAATTGCATCCAAATGAGTATGCGTTTCTCGTCCACTCAATTAGATAAGTGAGATTTTTTGAAATAAAATTAATTATTAAACACATTTAAAATCAAATCAAGAGTATGTTCTGAATGAAATAACACTAAATAATATAGAGTATATGTACCTAACAAAGTTGTCCATTGGTATTGGCTGTTTTACCATTCTCATAGCTCAACCTGGACCGGAGATTAATGTATGAGACTTATATGTTATATGACCTAGAATTTGTGTTATTAATTGAAACTGCATAAGTTATACCTCAATGAAAATATCCCTCGTGCTAGAGATTCATTACTTCCATTAAAACTAAACGTACTCTTTATCCCAAAGGGTGAAAGAGTCATGTCTAAAATTAACATCCCTCACCATAGACCACATTCCTTGTGTTAAACTTGCACCGGCCATGGTAAATCTGCCTCAACTTAATTTGAACTAATGGTGTTTATAAATTGAATGTGCAATGCCTCATGGCTTGATTGATGATATGATAATGGAAACCTTTGGAAATGCCTATTTTTATGACATAATAAAGGGATGAGCATGTGACTTGAGTCTTAGCAGAATCTAATTTGGACAGAAGCAGAATATTTTAGCCGGGAAACAACATACAATGTTTTGTTTTGCTTTTATAAAGAGTAGTATTACTTTATAAACACCATAACATGACATTATTAGTCCAACACAGTTAAACAACTGCGCAGTGCATGAGCTCAATGAGTAACTCAGTTAATAAATGATCACACCAATAATGGATATGTAAAATAAAAGATTGTCTATAAAAGATGGTGGTCAAATTTAGGGAAAAAAAATCATCGATAAATCTTGAACCACAAAGGTTTACACAAGGATCTAGACCATTTTTTTATAATGAGTTTTTTTGGGGGATTTTCAAACAGAGCTTGCATTCACAAAACCAAAATGAAAAACATCTTTTTTTACTCACAAATTTAATTGAATGATACTTCCATAGATCTAAAATTGAAACATAGTGTAATCGAACCAAATCCTAATGAAGCGAACTGAAAAGATCAACTTATGAAGCAAACAAAGTGTAATCGAACCAGCCAAACCCTAATCAAATTTTGAGTTGGATAAAATCAACTTACCTCGCTACGTTGCAGATGGGTCGCGAAAGTGATGAAAACCAAATAGAGACGACTACGATATGCATAGAAAGCTTTTGAGAGGGAGAGAGGATTCATGAACTTAGGGGTGCGCAGAGACTAGAGAGTGGGATTGGAGAGATATTCAGTTTGATGTGATTCTCTCTATGTTCGTTCTCTATTAACGGAGAGGGCAAAAGTAGATCTACAAAGAGTACATTATTGCACTGATTTAATTTTATTTTAGTCATTCTGTAGATGACATTAAGGGGCTGTTTAGCAACATCTGAATAGGTAAGTACTAGATCAGTAAGAGGTCTGAACCCTTAAATGCTGAACCAGTAAGAGATCTAAACCATTAAGAACTAGTATATTACTTAACTATTCAGGGGCAAATGTCTGATCAATTAAGATAAGAGGTCTTAACCATTCAGACTCTTTATAATACTTAACCATTCAGAGGCAAATGTCTGAGCCATTCAGACATCTGAACCATTAAGAGGCTGAAACAAACAGTCTGAACCATTAAGTGCTAAACCATTCAGACATCTGAACCATTAAGAGATTGAAACAAATAGCCCCTAAGTCTTAATGTCAGGTGAATAGCTCTATTAAGTAATAAGGCTAAATTTTTATAAAATAATAAAAAGGGGGGAAAGTCCTGCCCCCTTTATTTTTTTTATAAGAAAGGGAAATATCTGTCACTTTTTAATTTAGGGGCTGTTTATTTCAGCCTCTAAATGGTTCAGATGTCTGAATGATTCAGCACTTAATGGTTCAGACTGTTTGTTTCAGCCTCTTAATGGTTCAGATGTCTGAATGGTTAAGAGATTTGCCTCTGAATGGTTAAGTATTATACAGAGTCTGAATGGTTAAGAGCTCTTATCTGAATTGATCAGACATTTGCCTCTGAATAGTTAAGTAATATACTAGCTCTTAATGATTCAGACCTCTTACTGGTTCAGCACTTAATGGTTCAGACCTCTCAAACAGCCCCTTAATTTATTTTTTGTTTTACAATTAGGGGTGGATAATTCTGCTACTATTCTTATTTGATATAAGTAGGGAACAAGTCTATCGCTATATTAATTATATTTCTAAAATTAATTTGGATTTCTTTTGTATTGCCCATTTTAAGTTTAAATTATTCTCCCGCATATCCTCGCCTAATTTATTTGAAATAGCTACAACATTAGAGGCAGAAATAATCCCCCTCTAAATTTTTGTAGCTTATACCCGAAATGGATGTTGGGTGGTTCGCCAGAACCATGGTTTTGCTGGTCAACGCCGAAAGCCGATGTCAAAAATTAAAGTTTCCCAAATTGAAACTCTAGTGTTGGAAAAACTTATATAATTTATTTTAGGTAGAAACCAATTCTAAAACTTAAAAACCACATCATTAAGGTAAAAACCATGGCTAGCCAAGTTAATGCCGTTTCACATGGTTTTTGCCAAAAGACTAAAAACGAAAGGTGGTTTTAACATGTTTTTGTTGGCGAACTATTTGGATGTGTCTAGAAGTAAAAAAAATCATAAAAGCTTAAAAACTACTTGGTTGATTCGATCACCAAAAACCAATGACGATAACCAGCGCCGAATGTTGAAAACTAACACCAAAACACGAAGGTTATAGTTTTTGAAAACAAACCATTTGGAAAACCTTTACATGTGTCCAGAAACAAAAGGCAAAGATAAAAACCCAAAAACTGTTTGGCTAAAATCAATGTCAATAACCAACACCAAAAACCGAACGCCATAGCCGAACGCCGATAATCGATGGTTATGGTTTTGGTTGGGCAAGGACCAGGGGTTTTGGAAACCTTATACCATTTGTGAAAACACTCGTTTGATGTATGAAAAACATATTTTGTTTTGAGCTATGACTTAGAAAAATGGAATGAACTTGTTACATTAAAACATCTTCAAAACGTCAATGTCATCATCTTTAGAAACATCAATGCCTTTTTTATGCTTTTTGTTCCTTCAAAGAACTTTTGCTATGCCTTTGAATCTTTCCATTTTGTTTCATGTTCCCAACGGTTTGTCAATATCAAAACCTAAATGGAAACAAACATTGTCACTATAAATTGGGGTATTTGGGTCTACTTTTCTCATCTCCAATCAACTCCCACTAGTTGGAGCCTATTTTTTCACTATAAATTGGGGTGTTTGGGTCTACTTTTCTCATCCAATTAATTCACAATTCATACTCCTTCATTCCATTCCATTCTTACATTTTTCATAGTTTTTGAGAGCCATTCTTGTGAAGCTTTTGTTGCATTCTTGAGCGTTACTAATTTACTCAACATCCACTCTAAAAGCGAGTATTGTTCTTGAGTGCATTTGTGTTTGAGACACTAGTTAAGAGAAGGTGGTTCTCTTGTTGATTCGAAGGAAGGATGTTTTCCTTCAAAGGTTCGTTGAGGTTTGTGTAACTCGGACTTTCAAGTTGTCAGGTTTGTTAAGCACCGTTAAGCTTAACCTTGATAGTGTAACTCGAGAGAGTCTCTCGGGAGGCTGGACGTAGCCACACGTTGTGGTGAACCCGGGCAAAATTGGTGTGTCTTCTCCTTACCCTTTACTTCCGCTCTTAAATTTTTAATTCCTGTGACTTTTTGTTTCAAATGCTATTCACCCCCCTCTAGCATTGGGACTATTATTTAACAATTGGTATCGAAGCCTAACTCTCTTCCAGACTTAACAGTTTGAGAGGAATAAGATCATGGGCTCTTCGTCTAAAAATTTGTACGCTATAGGTGAAGGACAATCTACCTCAAGGCCACCACTTTTTGATGGCACCAACTACACATATTGGAAGGAACGGATAAGAATCTATATCCATTCCATGCCACCAACTTCCAATTATGGGTGTGTATCAAGAATGGTGAAGATGTACCTATGAAAAAGGTAGAGAAACCACGGTTCTAAAGACCGAATACGAATTTGATGCCAAAGACATCAAAAAAGTTGAAAACTATGCAAAGGCCATATAAACATGCTCTATTGTGCAATATATCATGATTACTACAGGAAGATCTTTTGCTACTCAACCGCCAAAGAGATGTGGGAAAAGTTTGAGGCAACGTACGGAGGTACGGATCAGGTATGTGAAGCAAATAGACTTTCTTACCCAAGAATATGAGATGTTCAGGATGAAGGAAGGTGATAAGATCGATGATATGTTTGATCGCTTCTCCAAGATCATCAAAGACCTTCATTTGAATAAAAGCTACTCCAACAAGGATCTAGTGAGGAAGATCCTGCGAAGCTTGACTCCCGAATGGCCGTTTTGACCAGCTTGTTAGTACAAAGAAATACCCACTTATGTTTAAACTAGTATTTTTATTTCTCTGTTTTGACCAGATTACTAACAAACTATACATTACCTATTATGAATATCTCCAAATGACTTATATACCATTTTAAGTCATTTTATCTACACGGAATTTTTTTAAACTTATAAGCAGCTTATAAATAAAAAAACTACTTATAAACAATAAGTCAATAAGCATCAGTACGGAGAAACATCCACTAAATAAATGGAAATTGTAATGCATATTAATATAAAATGATTGCATTAAATTTATCTTGTCGAAAATTTAAAAACAAATAAATTAATTGTATTAAAACACAATATTATTTTTAATAATTAATGGCCCAAATACATTAAATTTAATTAAAAAAATCAAACTAGCAAAAGTGTAATAGGAAATAAAATACTCCCTCCATATTAGAAAAAATATCACAATTTAATATTAAAAAAATGCAATTTTTTAATTTGTGTGTGCTTTTATTGACTATATGGTAAAATAAAATATTTTTATCACTTATTATTTTGTGATAGAACTTTTGACAACATTTTTAAATAATATAAATTTTTTATTTTATTTTCCTATACAAATTTTTAAATAAAATAAATTTTAAAAAAAATTAAAATTTCATTTCCTGTTACATAATGTGATATAAAGAAAAGTAGATCTTAACGCCAAAGAAAAGGGTGTGACACAGGACTTGTTTGGTGGCGGTCGAACGCCAGTTTCCACTTGTGTGCAAAAGCAAACCAGTTTGTTTTTAAATAAAATTCTATCAACCCATGCGCTTTAACACTATGTTTGGTTCAAGGAATTTGAAAGGAAAAAGAAAAGAAAATTAAGTGGAAAACAGTTTTTCTTGTTTGGTTGGGGAGGAAAAGTGCTAAGAAAAAGAAAATGAGAAGACAAATGTGTAAGTTCGTGGGGGCGCAGCGGAAATCACCAATTAAGAGCTATGCAAACAAAACAACCAGCTCTGGTGCAGAGAAGATGCTGCAGCACTGTCCAGTAACAGATGACAGACAGTGTGCTATAACACGTCTCTGTCACAAGCACACACGTAAAATATGAAATAAAAAACAGCAAGCAAGACACCAGAATTGTTCACGCAGTTCGGAGCAAATTCTCCTACGTCTGCAAGGCCCACGTCTGTGTAATAGCCTTTCCACTAAATCACCGTAAGAATTACACAATCAATCACAGAACCTTCTAATGTATTGATTTGTCTACTTATGAATGACTTGACAATAAACTCGGTTTGCGTCTATCTCCACGGCTTGTTACACCTTCTCAAAGATCTTCTTCAAGGACGTAGATTCCAATTCACCTTCAAATAAAGATTCTCCTTGATCTACTAAAATATGCAGGCTGATCTGAAGCTCATAAATCAAGATTGAACCGTTGAAATTCGATCTCCACCGTTCAGATTGAAGCTTTACGATTCCTTAGACTCCTCCTAAAATTTCAGCACGATCGGACAAGATTTGGTACTCCAACCAACAAGAAAACCAGGGCTGCGTTTTCTGCAAAAAATCAGCAACAATGTGTAGATTGTAACTTTGATAACAGAAGATCCGTAACTCCGATTGACGTGAAATTTTAACACGTTGAAGATCTATGTGTTGAGAACACCCTCTAAAAATTTCAGAAAAATCCAACGGTCGGATCTCCGGCGATGATCAAATCTGTGCGGCTGTCCAGAAACTTTTCAGTGTCTAACTTTGCACCTTGTTTTCCTATTTGATCAAATTTGATTCTGGTTTTTGTAGTTTTGCACGTCCAAAACCCTAAGGGAGGGTGAAGATATTAATATAATAGAATAGCCATGTTAGAGTGTGCTTAGGAGTCTCAACTATCTCTTCCTCCTTAAGAATAGCAAACCAAGTAGGATTAGAATTCTCTCTTCAAGCTCTTTCCTCTTTCTCTTCCTTCACATGCTAGGACTCTAAGTCTAAATAAAACATATAAAATAATTCTAGATAAATCCATTCGTTTGTCAAAAAATAATGCCAACACAATATGGAACTAACAATCTCCCCCTCTGGCAATTTTTTGACAAAAACGAATCTCAGCTGTTTTGAACCTCTTCTCCCCCTTTTTTGCATAAAAAATGCCAAAGATTTTATTAAGAATATTGGGGCAAAAAGAGAAGAGTAATATTCAAGTGAGCTTGAGCATTACAATAATGAATATTAAAATAGACTAAGACTTTGTCACATCAACCTGTGCCACACTTGAGCGACTCCCCATCGGACGATGCATCTGAAAGAGTAACAATCTGCAAAACATAAAGACATGTATGCAACCAGCAAAAAAATCTATGCTCTAAGGTATTCCATGCTGGATATGAAACACCTCTTAGAGCATTCTCTAAATCAGGTAGAGATAGGTGTGCATAGACCCAAGCGGGATCTGAGTATATCAAACTGATTCCCATCAAATGCTCTTTTACACATGCCCAATACTCGTTTTTTCATAGTCATAAACTTCACACTCTCATGGCTAGGAGGTGTCACTTCATCACACTTATGAGATGATTCAGCACTCTTAACAGCACAACGATCTATTTTCTTTTCTTCTTGAAGCAAGCTTGCACTACCAACATGGCATTTATCAGAAGCAACATCACTCACACAAGGATTATCACCTGTTTTGTACTGATTCTTAGGTACCCAAATCATCCTTGTTGTCACATTCTTTTTTCTGTATCTTTGCTCTTTATAAATCTTGCATTTCCTCTAAATGTGTCCCCTTTTTCCACACCAAAAACAAACATAATTAGTATAGACATTAGTATAAGAATACCTTTCAGGTCTAGCATAATGATCCTTGTGTCTTCTCATACTAGATTGTGTCACAACTCTTTGCCTTTTTGCATAGGGTGCTGCATAAATTGTTCCAGCAGAAGCTTCATGAGATGCTTCAGCGGGTTTGGCAGAAGATGTTCCAGCAGATGCAACAGCTTCTGTTTTCCTTCCTTGTGGAACTTTTTGAGAAATTTCCTTTCTTCGATCAACAAACAATTCAAGTGGGGTCTGGTTGCTTTCGGAACTTGAGAATCCGAGACCCATCTTGTCTCCAGAAAATTTTGAAACGTTCACTTGTTCCTCAATAGCTTTTGCTCCAGAACTTCTCATCCACTTGTGAAAGTTTTTGAGTTGATTTAATTCATACTTGAGATCTGATTGTTGCCCTTCTAAGTCTTCAATCTTCTTTTCTAGTCCTAAAATACTCTCCTTTAGTCTATTGTGCTCGGCAACAAGCTGATGATTCTCCAAGACAGTTTTCTGGTTGGCTTGAACAAGTTCTACCCACTTCCTTTGGAGAATAGCTAGCTCTTCTGCTGTGTCAACCTTTGTGTCAACTTCTGTATCATCCTCTGTGTCATCCTCTACTGTAACTTTACCTTTGTATCTCCGTAACTCTTTGATGAGTTGTTCTACATCGCGTTTTGATTCAGCAAGTTCACGTTTGAGGCTATCATTTTCCACACATTTTTTCTTGTTGACCCATAGAGACTCTTGAAATTTTTCTTCGACAATTATTGTTAGAATAAGTGCCCTTCACTAGAGGGGGGGTGAATAGTGAGGCACGAGAATGTTTATAAATTTTCGCAGAATAAAAATCGCAGGGATAAAGTAAAGAACCTAAAAAATAAAGAGCGTAAAAAGCGTAAAGAGAGCACACCAAGATTTATACTGGTTCACCACAACGTGTGGCTAGTCTAGTCTCCCGAGAGACTCTCTCGAGCTACACTACTTCCGTTAAGCTTACGGGTGCTTAACAAACCGTTACAACCTGAGAACTCGAGTCCCACGAGCCTCAATACACTTGCTCAGAGATACCGCACTCCAAGACTTCAACTCGAAGGAATATGCCCTTCCTTCGTACAACCAAGGGAACAAACCTCCCTTAAAGTGTTCACAACACTTAACCACTCAAGAACAAAAACTCTCTTAAAGAGTAGAATATGAGTAAACTAATTTAGATCAAGAACTGGCTCTAAAAAGCTATGTAAAAAGTTTATGGAATGATGCAATGTAAAGCTATGAAATGTGTGAGGAATGAGTTGTTTAAAATGAAGGAAATTGAAAGCGTTGATCAAATGTTCGACCGATTCTTAAAGATCATCAACGATCTCCATTTCCTTGGTAAAACATACTCGAATAAAGATCTTGTTCGAAAAATCCTTCGGAGCTTAACATCAGAATGGCGTTCAAAAGTCGATGCCATATATGAGTCAATTGGTAACACCAATGTCACCATCGATGGTCTTCGAGGTAATCTTAAAACTTATGAATCTACTGTTCTTAAACCTTCTCTTCACAAGAGTCCCGGTCTCGCTCTCAAAGCCTCATCCTCAAAAAGGGTAGAGGTAAGTAACTCCGATAGCGATGACGATAATCCTTGTTATAACTTGCTCGAGAAGTTCCAAGAGTTTTTGAAGGAAGAACTTAGGTCCCGAGATTGTAAAAGAAAGGGGAAACCCGTTCCAACGTGCTTTGGTTGTGGAGAACTTGGCCACATTAAGCCATATTGCCCATACTGCAAGGAAAAGAAGAAGAAGGAACAAGCATACATGGCATGGGATTCGGAAAGTTCCGGTGACGAAACTGCCACCTTATGTCTTATGGCTCATGAACAAAATGGAGAGGTAAGTATTTCTAACTCTTTCTCAATTGAAGAATTACAAGAAGCCTTTCAAGAATTATTTGGTGAATTGAAGAAAACTTCAAAAATTACCAAAGAGGCTTAGGTAAAAATTCATGCTTTGGAAGAGGAAAATAAATTTTTGGAAAATGATAATTTTGACCTCAAAAATAAAATTAAGGCAATGAATGAAGCTTCTTCCTTTGACCAAAGTTCTACTTGCTCCTCTTGTGAGTCTTTAAAAATAGAGAATGTAGAACTTAAGAGCACCATAGAAAAACTTAAGGTAGAAGAACCTAAGAAACTTGGTGAAGAAGTTCATAATGATAAACCACCTAGAAGAACAAATAATCCTAGGAATAACAAAATTAATTTTAGGAAAAATAAAAATAATAAGTTGAGACAACCTAGAAATGACTCTAAGATTTTTATAAATGATAGAAATAATTTGAGGCAACCTAGAAATGAGTCTAGGAACTTAATTAATAATTCTAGGAATAATGACTTTAGATCACCTAGAAATTTTTTGGCTCAACTTAGGCAAATGCATAACCCAAATGTAACTTGCCATTATTGCTCTAAGATAGGACACATAGCACCCGTTTGTTTTACCAAACATAGGGATTTGTTTTATAGCTATGATTATTATTTTCCTTACCCTCAAGGACCCAAAAGTTTTTGGGTACCAAAAAATTACTTTTAGATGCATATGTAGGTGTGTTTGAAGACTACATTTTTGTAGTGGATGTTGGAACACGGGTTTACACCTTCGTCGTACTAAACTGTGTTCGTTTATGACAGGTTTTGATAATGCCAAACCGCCGCGACATATCGAAGCTAAAGTGAGCAAAACTAAGGCGAAGGAACATGGCATGATGACTTGAGAACCAAGAACCCAGAATCAAGAACGAAGAACTAGAATTGTATTGAGTCGGTCTTAATGTGATCAAGACCGGCACAAAATTCCAAATCTTGGCTCTCTAGGCTTAATTCATAAAAAAACTCCTTTACATATTCAAAAATACCTTTCTTAAAGTTTAAACTTGGGTCAAAACACTTGGAGTTCGCCCAAGCCAAAAACCAAGCCATCCGGCGTTTGGCTTTCAGAAACCGGCGTTCGGCTTTCGGTTTCTCGGCATCGGTTTTTGGCGTCCGAACCAACCAAGTGGTTTTTAACTTTTTATAACTGGTTTTTACTTCTGGGCATATTTAAATAGTTCTCCAACAAAAACACCTCATAAACCACCTTCCGTTTTTGGTCGTTTAGTGAAAACCATGCAAAACGGCACGAACTTGGCTAGCCATGGTTTTCAACTAAATGACGTGGCTTTTAAGATGTTTTACTTGATTTCTTAGCAAAATGCAATAAACAAAT